CCTCATTTTTGAAAGATAATTTTGCTGGATCTAGGATTCTTGGCTGGCAGGTTTTACTTGTAGTACTTTGAATATCATTCTGCTGCCTCCTGCTTTCATTGTTTCTGATAATGCAGCTGTTAATATTATTGACATTTCTTTGTACCTGATGTGGTGATTTCCTCTTACTACTTTTGGGATTTTACATTTGGTGTTCAACATTTTGACTATAATTTTGGATATGGATCTTACGTTTATCCCTGAACTTCATGGATATGTAGATTAATGTCTTTCACTAAATTTGGGAAATATTTATCTATTATTTCTTTGAAAATGTTTTGCTCTTTTTCATTTCCTTCTGGTACTCTTACATTACACATATATGTAGATGCACTTAATAATGTTCTACATTTTTCCAAGACTCTATTCAGCTTTTTTTTTCAATTTCTCTATCTCCAAGTTGCATAGTGCCTATAGATCTATCTTCAAGTTCATGGCTTCTTTATTTTGAGGACTCAAGTCTACTGCTGAAGCTCTGTTGAGAGTTTTTCCTTTGGGGCATTGTGTTTTTCCCACTATAATTTCCATTTGATACTTTTAAAATTTTCTATTTCTTTGTTGATGTTATCTATTTAATAAAATGATAATTTCTGTTAGTTATTTAAATATACAGAGTGATAAAAATATATTGAATATTTAAATTTTTAAAATTTGTTACAGTGAAAGGCACATTGGCACTTATCTTCAAAATACTCCCTTTGATTTGAAATCAGTTATTCCATGGCTCATGCCACTTTCTGAAACAGTTCTAGGAGTTCTCCTTCCTAAGTGTTATGAGAGGTGGTCAAAAATATAGTGAATGCATCTGCCAAGTGCCATTCAACAGAAAGGCAGGCTGGTAAAGACATTACAGCATGTCCTCATCCACCTTATTCACCAAGACTGGTGCTGTGTTTAAAATGACCACGAAAGGTAAATGCTTTGAATTGTTTGAGGACATTGAGGCAGCCACAACTATACAATGAAAAATACTCATGAAAAATGACTTCCAGAACTGCTTCAGAAAGTGGTAAGAATGGTGATGACTGTGT